TGCCAACATGCACCTAGTCTGACAAGTCTGTATCAGTACTGAGCATAAACAAATGTGATGCTCTGCAGTTTGCTGAAGTTCAGAGTGCAAGGAAGCCTCACGTGGCTCATCATGGAACCATGTCAGGGTCCCTTGCCCTTATCATCTTAAACCCCACTATGTGAGCTAAACTGTTCCCAGAGTTAAGCTAGCATGGAAGCCACAGCAGCCATGTTTGCTAAGTGTTGCTCTCGGGCTCCTAAAGATTCATCACACTCCAGCTGGTTCTTCATGAATCTCAGTCTGAAAGTGAATGGAGGCTACAGAGTGTCCTTGGAAAGTTTCACTAACTGTTTGCTCTGTTTCTCTCTGCCCTAAACACCTACTTCTGACATCTGTGGCTGAAAGCTCATTCCTGCTCTTTTCCACAGAAACTTTCACCACCTGACAAGAGTTGTCTATGAACTGAAAGATAAAGAAGATATTGGGTCACCTGGACTTCAGTCTAACACTGTTCACAGCTGTGCACAGTGGCACACTTTACCCCTTCCCTTCTTACCACTGCGTCCATATTCACCAGAGCATATCTAACTCCCTCACATGCACCCTTGGACACAATACATCCAGTCTTTGAGGAGCTCAACTTGGAAACCCACCTTGGATATCACTACACAGGGCATACTGAAACGTGATTGACTGACACTGAGCTGGAACTAAAGCTTCTGATGGAAAAGACCTAACTCCATGTACAGCTTCTAGTATATCCCTTAGTATCTATAATAGCTAGGTTTTTTTCCTCTCCATTACCCAGGCTGTCTCCAGCGAGCAGAAAATTGCTTACATCGAGGTATCAATAACATGGGTCCAAGAGTTGAACAGTTTCCTGGGGAAAAAAGCAGATATAGATGGGCGTGATCTCTGGTCCCATTATAGGGCTGCCTTAGGTACAGTCTGAATGTCACGTATTATTTTCCCGCTATAATTTGGAAGTAAGCCATAGACGATCTTCAGAAGAAAGCTTCTTGCACCTGATCATCAATCAGGCCAGTGGAAATTAGCAACATAAGCAGACCAAACTTTTAGCTTACAACTGGCAAGTACTGGTGGCAGAGATGCAACTGGCTGATGAGCATTTTCCCTGTGGTTGGTGTATGGTCAAACCACTTGGGAACAAGCTGTTGAAATACTTTACAATCAGCCAAGTCAAACAAGTGCTAAGCTGTTACACGTATGACTTAGTACTCACCTACTACACTGGAATCCACATTGGGTTTTGTTCGCTTTTCTTCTGTCATCTATCTTTATCACAACAAAGTAGTAGGGGACATTTTTGTCATTTTCTAAAATGGTTCTAGCCATTATTTCTGAGGGATCCTCCTCTGCTCCAACCAAAACCAATTATACCTATAGTTTATTCATGCCCTGGTTAGCCATCTAGACAAGAGGGATGCTTCAGTCTACACACATGGATCTGACTGAATGCCTGAACCACAGACCGACTGGAAATCATTTGTTAAAAAAAAAAAAAAAAGTATGGGTTCTTTTTCTTCATTACATCTCCCCAATCACTCACTACAAACTGTGCATCAGTACAGCTGTTTGTACAACAGTACATGCAGTTCAAGCTTGCAGGTCTTCAAACACTATCTCACAGTTCATTAAAGCTTCAGTCTCTCTAATGTTGGAATTGATAGTAAAAGCTTATCAATTTCAGCATGAAGGAAAAGTTTGAAGTGCTGGAGGCACTGGTGCTGGAGTCCATGAAGATATGCTTTCCTATCTCTAGACAACCACACATGACATCTGTTTTCGTCAGCAATTAGCACAGTAACATTCAACAAATCATTTGACTGCAGCATGACTGGCTGTCTATGTTAAGACTGCATTTTTTTTTGTCCAACCCCTTCCATCTAGAACATGAGTCTGAAAGGTTTGGCTCCCCCACCTCCCATTGCTTTGAGCTGCCTATGATGACAGGACCGAGAAGTTTGTTTTGAGCATTTAGAAATCAGTAAGTTATCGTGACACTCCTGGCTTTCTTGCATCGAGCAACTAGGAAGAGATAATGCTAAAGAATCTCTGCTTTTAAAGTGTAATTATTTCATGACACATTTTCAGTTCTGTTTAGACTCACTCCTCCAGCAAAAGAAAACATCCTGGCACAATTACTTAGGGATACAAATTGGAATATTATGCTTAACCAGATGCACTTCTATACAGCCATATCCTCTATTTCTCCCACTTAAAATGTAGAATACAACAGCAAAAGGCATTCTTAGGCCAGGTCATCCTGTCACCACCAAACAAGTTAAAGAATAGGTGTCAGACTGACTAACAAGTATGGTCACACTGGCAAAAGGCTTTGGACATGACTTTTCACTCCTGCAAATGTGTCAGTAGCAGGAACTTCGCTTTCTAATCAATGTGAATTTCACTGGCACAATTAAATCTAGACTAAACCCAAATTACACCTTCAACACTTCAGTCATTAAAAAGTCAATTTGGTCATTAAAAGCACTCACCTTAAGTTCACATTTGAGAATTTGGTCTTTAGAGAGATTTATAGCCATGACTCAGACCATCTTACTCTCATCCTTATAGTCAAAAGATGCAGCACTGGGTGTTCTAGAGAAAATTGCCTACTAAAACAAATCATCAAGTTGATTTCTGTGCTGGCAGGTAGCAAACAATTACCTCGCGTACAATAGACTGGAATGACTTTACCATTCTTTTTCATGATTCTACAGTAAAATATCTCCAGGGTGATTAGCCCCTTCAAGGAAAGTTATCTTGCAATTCAGTAACAGACTTTTAAGATCAGATAATACAGTCAAAGAGGACGATTTGTTATCAGTGCAACCGACTGTAGTTTAGTTCCGGAGCTTCTTGATTTGACTGCAAGCACTGACACAGCATACAGATACCTTAACACACAGTCCCTATATTTGCAGAGCACACAGGAAAACAATACCTCAGACTTTGTCACTGCCTTACACTGGCTACAATTAACATTTCTTCAGCACCCATACAAGCATCCTACATGGCTTAAGCTAAATATTTACTCGACTGGAACATCCTATAATTGATGGTTCAGTTGCTGCTCCTACAAAAGTTTCTGCTCCTAGAAAAGAGCCTGTGTTTTGGTCTCACTTTCACAAATGAAGTCCAATGACTAATAACTAAGGCTTCTCCCTGCAGCATTCACCTGGTTCTTGCACAAGCCGGGGAAAGAATAAAACCAAAAATTCAGCAGGGAGAAGGCCATACTTGATCTCCTGAAAGATCCACTGCTCCCTGTAAAGTTCATCCAAAACAGTGCTCACATTTGTGTTCACTAACATAAAACAGGTCCACATTTTAGAATAAGGACTTGCTCTCAAATTAGGGTCAATACTTGCACGGTTCCAGTGGCCAAGAGCCATCTCCCTTCCCTCTCTTTGCCCCTAAGTGGATGTCTGGTAAATCATGTTTATCTGAGGTGCAGTTATATCTTCATTTAAAGTGGACATCTATTGATTTTTCTCTAGTAACTCTTCATTTTCACACCTGGTAACATGTAGCTCAAGTAACTCAGATTGTGCATCTACTTCTCAATAATGTCGCCTGCACCAAGGCAATGAACCAAAACTTCAAGCGCAGACTCACATCTTACAGTATTTCTAAAGAAAAGCATGCTTTTGCTAAGTAATTATTCCCCCCTCCAGCACTACTGCTTAAGCTCCCATACAATAAAAGTCACCCCATGCAAGAGGGGAAAGGGCACGGACTTAGTTTGATACGGATTGCTAAACCCTCATCCAGAGCCTAGACTTCCTCACTTAACCTTGCTCCTAATGCTCTCCAAAATTAAAACATGGGATGGTTGCCCAGTAAACCAAAAGCCAACTACCAGCAAACAGGAAAAACAGAGTTAGCTGAAGGAAGGATGTGATGGGGAGGGAACATCTCACCACTTTTCAGAGCACACAGTACATTTTATCCATGCTCACCCCCAACACCGCAGGAGAGGAGAGGGCACCCCAGCTGCTCCAGCCTCATCAGTTACCCAAGCTTAAAGCCGATTTATCTGGGTGTTATCCATGCTGCAACTCCCTGCTTTAGTTTGCACCCAGCACCTCTATGAGCACAGAAGCAGCCTCTCATGGAGAGGAAACCTGCACCTTGACTCTCCAGTACTGGCAGGAGAGGGGCACAGACCCCTGCTTCGGCACAAACGGAACCTCACCCTCTCATCTTCCTACCAGCCCAAGAGAAGGGTGCTCAAAACCCCTTGCTTCAGGGACCCTCCTTCCATCAAGCTCAGGGACTCAGGCTCAGGCATCCCCATACCTCGGGCAACTCCCCCTTACACCTCAGGCAGTACCTCTCCACCCTTTCACCTCAGGGCACCCCCACACCGCAGGGAGCACCCCTCTGCATCTCAGGGCACCCCACACCTCAGGAAGAACCCCATACTCCAGGGAGCAGCTCTCTGCACCTCAGGGCACCCCCACATCCCAGAGAGGACCCCTCTGCACCTCAGGGCACCCACACACCTCAGGAAGCACCCCCTCCTTTACCTCAGGGCACCCCACACCCCAGGGAGGACCTCTCTGCACCTCAGGGCACCCCACACCTCAGGGAGGACCCCCCCCTTCACCTCAGGGCACCCCACAGCCCAGAGAGGACCTCTCTGCACCTCAGGACACCCCTCTCCCCAGAGAGGACCCCTCTGCACCTCAGGGCACCCACACACCTCAGGAAGCACCCCCTCCTTCACCTCAGGGCACCCCTCTCCCCAGAGAGGACCCCTCTGCACCTCAGGGCACCCACACACCTCAGGAAGCACCCCCTCCTTCACCTCAGGGCACCCCACAGCCCAGAGAGGACCTCTCTGCACCTCAGGACACCCCTCTCCGCAGAGAGGACCCCCTCCTTCACCTCAAGGCACCCCCACACCGCAGGAAGCAACCCCCCCTTCACCTCAGGGCACCCGCCCCCCGCTAAGCTGAGGGCCGCCTCTACCCGGAGACCGGCCGTACCTGCTGCGAGGGCAGCTCCACATGCAAGGCCCGGGTGGCGGAGCCCGGCGGTAAGGCGGCGGAGCCGGCGGCCGAGCTCATCTTCACGGCGGGGCAACGGCCGGGCAACGGCTGCAGCGCCCGTACATGAGCCCCGCGGGCCGCTGCTCTTTCTCTCTCTCCCCCCCACCCCGCCGCCGCCGGGCACCCAGGGGTTAATGGCGGCAGCAGCACCGGCCCGGGCCGCTCGCTACGGAGCCATATTACCGCAGTGCTGGGGGGGCGGGCGGCGTGAGGGAAGGAGCGTCCCGCTCGCTCATTGGCCCGTCCTCCACCGAGGCGGGAGCCCGAGTGCGTCTTCGAGACGCTACTGGCTGACAGGAACGCCAATCGACGCTCCGCTCCGCGGCCTCTGTCAAACCGTTGAAAGGGGAGCGGGGAGCCGATTGGAGGCCCGACTTCCGGAAGGCGGGACGGCGCCTGAAGGAGCGGCTGACGATTGGAAGAAAGCCGTTTTGATTGACGCGGCTTCGTCCCCCGTCACGTGTTGAGGGAGCTGTTTTTATCACGTGGCGGGACGAAAATATTTTGCTGGGTGGGGGCGCCGTCGCCATGGCAACGCGGAGCGGCCTGGCCCCCGCCGCGGCCTGGGCCTTGCTGAGGGGCGGCCGGGCCCGGGGTCCCCAAAAGGGCGAGATTCCTCGTCTGGACCCTCACGGCACGTCCAACCGGCCCCACATCCCATCCACCTGCCCCGCGTCCCGCCAAGGTGCCGCGTATTACACCAACCTGCCTCACAGCAGGCCGACGCGCCCCGCGAAAGACCAGCCTCTCCGCCCTCCGCATCATGTCGGCCTGCCCCACCACCAACCCACCTGCCCCACCGAAGACCGACCGGCCCCATAACAGGCCAGCCGCCCCCGCGGCCTGCCAACCAACCCAACATCACACCGATGCATCCTGCGTCCCACCTCACCCCCGATGCCAACGCACGCCGAAGCCCGCCACAGCCACCGCCACCCACCTCCATCCCACCCAGGCAACATCCATCCCGGCCAGAAGGACCGTCCCCACCCAGAGCCGGCACCGTCCCCACGTACCACGCAGCACCGGGAGCGCCAGTCCTGTCCCCGCGCCCTGCCGTGGCCACCCGTCCCCACGGCACCCTGCAGCACCTGCCCGGCGTAGGCAGCCCCGCTGGAGATGCTCGTCCCCATCGCACTGCCGAGGACCGGCATGGGTTGTGCCAAAACACCCGTCTCCGCACCGCCGGGAACGCCTGTCCCCAAAACACCCCGGCAGCAGCAGCGCCGGGAACGCCTGTTGCCGGAGCGTGCCGCTGCACTGGAAATGCCTGTTCCCACCGGGCTGGGCGGCTCTGGAAGGATAGAGCGTGGCATGCAGTGCTGGAAAGCCCTGTCCTCCTCTCCTCCTCCCCCTCCTCCTGTCCTCACCCACATGCAGCTCCCACACCGTGGAGATCTTCCCCGCTGGAAGCCCACCAAGCCTTCGTTCACCTGCAGTACTCGTGGTTTTGCAATATTCGTGCTGTATCGACGTGCGTTGTACTGGCGTTGTCTTCAGCATGCATTTTGGTCTTGGGTATTCAACAGTGAACTCATTAAAAATAAAATAAAAAAGAGGAAGAATGATGAAAACTGGAGTGTAAAGCCAAGTTTTCTGGAGTTCGATGGCCAAGCTTGCAGAAGTCATCCTCTTCCATCCTCACCCTCCCTTGCAGCCACTCGCCAGGGTCTGCCTTTCCCCACAGTACTTCCTAGGAAGAGTGGAAAATGGAGCTGCCAAACTCTCCCCCACAGTAATTCCCCATTTCACCACTGAGGGACATGTTGGTGTGGACTTTTTTTACCAAATTGTGTGATTCAAGGTGTGGGTGCCCAATAAATCCGACACCTCAAACTTAAGTTTTGGGCATCATGAGCCTGGAGTTGTGTTTGAGTTCTGGATGTTGCTGTCTCTGACCAAGGAAATTATTTCACGACAGTGGCCTTTTTTTAGAAGAGCTTCTGGGAAACCAGTGCATCTCCTTTTTTTTCTTCTGATGAAAAAAATCCCCTACTATTTCAGTATTTTCAACAGCAAAGTGTGCTGTTTTCCAGCATCCAGACTCCCGAGCCACGTTGAGATCAGGAGGTTCAAACATAGTAATTTTGGACCTGTTGTATCAGTTTGATTCACCTCCTGGTTTCTGGCTCATTACAATACATATGCTCCTTCCTCTTGAACTTTCCATCTTCACTTTGGAGGACTGAAACTTCATTTTTAAGGTGAAAAAGGAGTGAAAAAAAGCGTTTGGAGTGGCAAAAATGATCTTAACATCAAGAGATTTGGGAATGCTTTCTGAATCTGAGACTCTTTAGATATGCTTCCTCCAGTGAGCAAAACTAATTCCGGCTCAGAATTATATATAAAATCAGAGATGATCACAGTTGTAAGAACAGTTATTCCTGAGATAAATCACTAAAAAGAGTTTATGGAAATACTGTGAAGATTCCACTGCTTGTTTGCCCAAACCATCAAAGGATTAAAAAAAAAAAAATCAATCCTCAGATGATATGTGACTTTTCTGTGACTAACTGATGCTGATTTGGTGAATTTAAAGTCCATACGACACTACCATAGGAGGATTTTCCTCTTTTTCTTCATTTCCACAGGAGCAGATGACTATCTCAAAACTTTCTTAAAATACTGATGTTTAGAAAAGTCAAATGAGTTACTTAACATAGCAGCTCACATGCTCTATATATGGAGATTGCATTGAATTTGCTGCTTAATGTAGACTGAGAGCTCTAACCCATAATTCAGGGACTAAAAAGCAAAATTTCCCCCAGAGGAAAATTCAAATATGACCCCAAATCCCATGCTGATTTATTAATGATTTTGTAGCAGTGGAACTGATAGAGCTCCAAAGAAGTGCCTGCAGATTTCCAGCTCATGCTAGCTAAGGCTTTGGCCTCATATTCTCAATTTCAGACTTATCTTTGCTTTTTGCTCTCTTAGTGTAACAAGGAACTGTTTGCAAAGGCATTATAAAATGAGGAGTTTCCAGGGATAAGGTTTCAGTTTTACATTTGATTTTCACCAGCTTTGAAAGGTTAAGACCACGCCTTGGTCTATGGTGAACCATAGTTCACCACAGTGACCATTCAACACCCTGAGAGTCATGTAATAATCCAGATTGTGCCTGAATTTGAACAAAATAATCATCCCTTTGGGGCTTAAAATAATTAGTTAATTAATAAGGATTGGTGGGATTTTTTACCAGCATATTTGCAAGCTGCAGCCAGGGAGGACTGTGGCTGCTTTTATCCCTGGTTTATGAACAGTCACTCGGAGCAGTAATGCTAGAGCAGTACTGCCAATCTCAGCTGTATACGTGGCATTACATAGGACCCTATATAATTTACTGATGTCCTAGGAAACTGTCGTTTGAATTCTTTAACCACATAAAAAGGCTGGCGTTATCTGTCTGCATCGTTTTGAAGATCACAGCATGACCTTTATTACGTCCCTGTGGATGTTCCTGCAGCTGATTATCATAAAAGATTAAATTCCTGGGGCTGCAGTAAGTGCACAGATGCATGCAGCGCTCCCACCTCCATGACCTGCCCATCTGCCCAAGTTCAGTGGTGCGGTCAATACTCTAGAGGGACAGGATGCCATCCAGAGGGACCTCAACAGGCTTGAGGAGTGGGCCTGTACGAACCTCTTGAGGTTCAACAAAGCCAAGTGCAAGGTCCTGCACATGGGTCGGGACAATCCCAAACAAGGATACAGGCTGGGGGATGAAGGGATGGAGAGCAGCCCTGTGGAGAAGGGCTTGGGGGTACTGGTGGATGAAAAGCTGGGCATCACCCAGCAATGTGCGCTCGCAGCCCAGAAAGCCAACAGTATCCTGGGCTGCATCACCAGCAGCGTGGCCAGCAGGTCGAGGGAGGGGATTCTGCCCCTCTGCTCTGATCGGGTGAGACCCCACCTGCAGTTCTGCGTCCAGCTCTGGGGTCCTCAGCACAGGAGAGACAGGGACCTACTGGAGCGGGTCCAGAGGGGGGATATAAAAATGATCAGAGGGATAGAACACCTCTCCTGTGAAGACAGGCTGAGAGAGTTGGGGTTGTTCAGCCTGGAGAAGAGAAGGCTCCAGGGAGACCTTATAGCAGCCTGCCAGTACTTAAAGGGGGCTTATAAGAAAGCCAGAGAGGGACTTTTTACAAGGGCATGTAGTGATAGGACAAGGGGTAAGAGTTTTAAACTGAAAGAGGGTAGATTTAGATTACATGTAAGGAAGAAGTTCTTCCCTGTGAGGGTGGTGAGGCTCTGGCACAGGTTGCCCAGAGTTGTGGCTGCCCCATCCCTGGCAGTGTTCAAGGCCAGGTTGGATGGGGCTTTGAGCAACCTGGTCTAGTGGAAGGTGTCCCTGCCCATGGCAGGGGGGTTGGAACTAGATGATCTTTAAGGTCCCTTCCAACCCAAACCATCCTGTGATTCTGTGATCTTCAGTGTTCTTCAAGTGAATCCAACAGGCAAACAGGAAAAAAAAAGTTTTCAAAAACATCATCTGATTACTGAGCATGTCTTGTGTTCAGATGTGGTCTAAACTCACACCAGCAGCTCCTCACTTTTGCATTATGAAAACCCAGAAGCAGTTTCTTCTGGACATTTTTTGTGGAAAGCAAAGCCAGAAAATAATTAAAATTATTATTAACAGAATTTCAAAATGCTATTTTAACAAAATAGGGTGAACAGTCTTACAGAATAAAGCATATTTTTGAAAACCCTCTGGAGAAAGCTGGATGAAATACTACTCAGGAATTGTCAGAAATGCCATTTGAAAACTTAAGTGTCATTTCTTGACACACTGCTATATCAGTGCTCTTTTTGCTTGGTGGCACTGAATTTGAGACACATGGGCCAGTGTCCATTCAGATAACATGTGGTGGAGAGATACTGCCTGCAGGTCATTACAGAGATTATTAAATAGACTTTATTGCAAGTTTTGGCATGCTAGAAGCTTTGGGAAAGGAAGCAATGACCTTGTGGCTAATGGTAATTCCTACTTCTGCCACAGATCGGGTCAAATATGCTTCTTATTG